CCAACAGTTACCCTTCAGATAATGGAAAGCCAATAGGAAGGAGCATAGACTATCGCAGGTAAAATGTAAAATGGAAATTGGAAGGGATAAGAGAGACTTTGAAGACCAATTTGCCAAAGACATGAAAACCAATAAGAATAAATTGGCTCTGGATAAAAGACTAGAGGCTGAGGATAGTGCCCAATTACAAGTCCTCTGAGGGAGCTGTTCTCCAAGGAAAGGGTTTCTCTTATTACTTTGCCATCTTTTGTTGCAGGACTCTCAGTAGGCACAGGATATAAATCACAGTAATTCCAGCTCCTGAATGTTACAAATCCCAAATCTCCCAATGGAGCCTCTACCATGATTTCTTCTTTTACATTTGCAGTGTTTGAGCTGCAGAGAGCAAACACAATGTTTTAGGGTCCCAAATCTGATCTATGTTTAAAACTGATACGCTCCATTAGGCAAAATCATCTGAATGTTCAATATTGATGTAGGGTATAGGGCTGCTTTTAGCAATCTTCATTACAAAAAGGGCATCTGCTCCATTGCTTTAGCTTTCACAGAACTTTCATTGAGGATGCTACATTTGGTTTGTTCTGAGATCTTCTACTAAATCATCTTGCCCATTTCGTGGCTCCAACGGATGAAACTTTCCCTGGCACTCGTGTGGAGTTAACTCTGTTCCTGTTGTCCCTTTTGATGTAAAACAAATTCCACTAACATAAGACACTTGTTATAAACCTTTCTGCTATACATTTTAAAATAAGTTGTGTATCTTTTTTGTAATATGCAGAGTGATTGTAATCTATCTTCAGTACTGTATATTTCCTGCTTATGGAAAAGAAATACTGACAGTTTTTCCTATAAACATGTTAAAATATGTGTAGTCTTTAGGCAAGTAATGACCTTGTTAATTTCAACATCAGATAAAATACTGGTGGTAAGTATCAAGCAGTGCTTAGGGAAATCTGATGAGGGAAAATATTCTATTTTCAAGAGAAGAGGCTACAAACAGTGGAATATAAAAATATAGTAGCTAAGTGACTTTTTAAGGTATTTTACCCCTCCTTTCATGCTAAAAGTGAATTGGGAGAGTGGTTAATATCCCCAGTGGTGTGCACATGCAAAGTATTCTGTGCCTGTTGCTTTTGGAGTAGTAGAGAAGGGAATTCTTCGTAGTTAATATAGCTGGAGCATTCAAGTAAACAAATCTTTAGCACCAAGTGCTATTCCAAAGCTAAAAGTTGAGAGGTTTATTAATGGAAAATACAGTCTTCCGGTAGGTCTGATTTCCCATCATGAATAATTAAGTATTTTTATTTTGGGGCTGGTTGGGGGGGTCCATTCTGCTTTCAGTACATCAACTCGCAGAAAAATTAAATTGTTTCCTTTTCAGAAGAAAAGTTGCTTGCTTCATGAAACACTTATTTTGATTGTTTGCATCTATTGCAGTTTCTGTCGGAAAGACACTGAGGTGGCTGTTGCTATTATAAGCCATGCTTTCATTTTTGTTCAGTCTTTTTAAAAATACCTTTTTTAGGGGATTGGGGATTAATGGAAGCTGGTGCGAGTGAAAGGTGTTGGACTGACAGCCCATGGAGACTGCGGTTCTCCAGCTGCAGGACAGATACAGCATGGGAGGCAGCAAGGGGAGTTTTTCTACCCTCAGCACCCCTCAAACCTGAGCTGGATGTATAGACTCACCTCTGGAAGGTAGTTCAGTATCTATGTCCATTAAATAATTAGTCGTCAATGTTAACTGCCCACTGTACCTTGAATAGTCTCTTGCAACATGTTAACGCATTATTTGTTCCACCCTTGTATTTAGCTGGGACGCTCTGAATACCTTTCCCAGACCTGAAGAAGAGCTTTGCGTAAGCTCAAAAGCTTGTTTCATTCACTGGCACTAGTTGGCCCAGTAAAAGATATTCCCTCACCCACCTTGTCTCTCTAATATCTTCGGACCAGCACAACTACAACAAGGCTGAGACTGCCAACAAGGTTGCTAGTTTTGGTGAATTTTTTTTTTTAATGTTTAAATTCTATTCTCTGTGGGTTCTTATGCCGTGTCCATCACTATAGTGTCTGATGGGATCCCACTGGGATCAGGAGTCAGACCACCAAACTCACTTCACATAGCCTACTAAGTAACCATTAGATGGTGGTTAAAACGCTCATACAGAAATAATGTTTCAACGGTTAGGATGCTGTGACGATGTGGGAATGTTCTTAATGTTTTCTCTGAATACTTTGTGAGTGCCTCAGTTTCCCCTATGCATGTCTTAAGTATCAAGTATGTAGGTGGTGGGATAAGGGTGTGTGATTGTTGCAGAGCCTTAGAGGGCCAGTGTGATGCTGTCTGCACAGAGAATGGCTGGCACCCAGTCTCCTGGCAACTGATGGCCTGGGCCCCTCCCCTGCAAAGGTGCCAACTGAAGGTGTTGGAGAACAAAGAGATCAGGTGGCCTCCTGGCCTGGGAAAGAGACAAAGGCCAGAGGAGGGGCTGAAGGGGGTTTCAGTTTGGAGCTGGCTGGGGAAAGAGAGGGAAGCCCAGACCCGGGGCCTGGCCTCCCTGCCCCCAAGATGGACCTGACTTAGGGGTCCTGTTTCCTGTACCTACAAGCTCTGTTTTGGACTGTGTTCCTGTCGTCTAATAAACCTTCTGTTTTACTGGCTGGCTGAGAGTCATGTCTGACTGCAGAGTTGGGGTAGAGGGCCCACTGGCTTCCCCAGGACCCCTGCCTGTGCAGACTCGCTGTGGGAAGCGCACGGTGTTGAGAAGGGGATGCTGAATGCTCCGAGGTCAGACCCAGGAAGGTCGAAGCTGTGTAAGCTTCTTGCCCTGGAGACAGTATGCTCACAGAGAGGAGGCTCCCCCAGAGTCCTGACTGGCTTCATATGGAGCAGTTCCAGAGCATTGCCCGTGACAGATGCTAACTTGGGAAACCTAGCTTCAATTATCTGTTCTGCCACAGACTCCCTCTGTGATGTTGGGCAAGTCACTTAGCCTCTCTGAGCCTCAGTTCCCTCTCTGTACAATCGGGACAATAGCACTGCCCTACCTCACAGGGGTGTCATGAGGATACACACAGTAAAGATTGTGAAGTGCTCAGATTCTTTGATAATGGGGGCCATATAGGTACTGTAGTACATAGCTAAGTTGAGAGCGCTGACGTATCTGACGCTGGCGGTGCTAATGATGGCAGTTTTTTTGTTTTTTTGTTTTTTTAAAGGCTACTGTAGACATATGTGGAGACCATCAGAGATAGCTGGTCCAAAATTAGGGTTGTTTTTGGTCAGGCGGGAGAGGGTAAAGTCCATTCTCTCACTCCCCTTCAGATAAATGATTTGGTCATATTTATTATTACTATTTATTTTTTAAAATAACTCCGTGCTGGTATCTGTTACCTGTGAGCAGGCTGGCTTTGATAAATAAGTGACATTGGATAAGGAAGCAGATTACTGTTAATGTAGAAGCTTAAAAACAAGAGACACTTGAAGTGCTAGGTGCTGAAGGACTATTGCAAACGGGATCCGAGAATGGAGAAAAGACTCCAGGAACTCATACTCCCCCAACCAGAAAGGGTAGGAATGTGGGGTGGAAGCAGATGGTAGCTTATTCCGAAGAGCTGAATTGTTGTGGGAGGGGCTACTGGTAGCCTGTCTTCCTCTGAAATGGAAATAAAAACTGTTTAATAATACAGTTCACAGGTTGGTTATACTAAAACCTGCTGCGTTTCTGTACTTTAATTTCTCACAGACTGAGGAGCAGTGGTGGTGGGCTTTGAAGGGAATTCAGTCCCCAGGCTGGAGGGATGACGACACCCTGTGGATGTGTTGGAAATGAGGCTAGAATGCCAACGTGAGAGAAAGATAAGACCTGTAAACAAAGGTCCTAATCTTGGAGTGAAGCTTGCTTCTTTGAGCAGTCCCATTCATGACAAAATACCAGTATCCAGCCCGAGTAATAACAATGTAAAACCAGCTACAAACTTAAGTGAGACCATCACAAATATTAGGATAACGCAGGCGTATGTTTAATGCACTGCTAGAAATCTAAAAGAAGTTGTTTGAGCTGTGGTGTTTTTCCACTTGCAGTATGTACACAAGTCTTTTTATAGGAGCAAAAGACTCAGTGAGAAAACAAAGTGTAGAGAATGGTGGCAGAAGAGGAGGATTCAATGGTGCCTTCTGACTTCCCTGCTCCCTCCCTTACTAATTCCCCCCACGCTGCACAGAAGAGAGCACAGTATTTCCACCGTGTCAGCCTCGCTTTTCTGTTACATAAGATAGGTCTTTATTATTCACATCATGCTGCATTGGTCTAAATCCACAACGGTGTGAGACTCAATTCACAGAAAAACTTAATCAACGTGTTTTTAGCTCGTTTTTGGGGGTTAACATTTTATGTGACTTGGTAGAACTGCACCAGAAGACTTCAGGTGAGGCACAATGTGCAGAAAGCCCTGCTGTAAGCATCTGAAGCTACTGCACTAACACACAGCAGAGCCAAAACTGCTTTGAAAGATGTCAAGTCATTTAATCATCTTGCAACATTATTGTAAACAATAACAGGATTACTACAGCGCAGTCCAACCAATAAGAGAACAGCTTTCAGAACACAACTCTGCAAACAGCCAATTGCAATTTAGCGGCAGGTGAACCAATAGCTAATTGGAATTCAGTTGGGAAATGACAGCTCTGCTGCTGAAACGAACTAAGCCAATCAGACACTGAATTGGGCAGCGAATGAAAATCAGCATTTTATTCAGCCAGTGGTCTGACGAGATTTCCTGGCACTGCTGGACAGACTGCATTCCTCCAGATATATGTGCATCTGTGAGCTTGACTCACAGCACAATAATAATCATCCTTATAATGATTCACTTCCCAATAATAACAGTGTCATAAATTATTTGTACAAAGCAGGACAATTATGTCTCTCTGTCAGCCCTGTGATTGTCTGCAGCTGGTAGGGAAAGTATCCAGATAATTTGGGTCTTGTCTCATTTAGCATTGCCACGGCTGTCTGCCCAGCAGACCTGGTTACAAGAGCCAGAGGGATGGTGGTAGTCACAGGGCAGAACAAAGCCAGTGGAAATCTGGACGATGCCATGTCGAGTTCAGATGCAGAGGATGATTTCCAAGACCCTGCCACTCCTACTGCAACTCAGGCAGGGCACTCGCTGCCTCTGCTGCCTCAGCAGGTAAGGGTGGTGTAAGACTGTTCTCATCTGAGCTGATGAGGTGCTTACATTTGAGCCTGCGTTGTACAGTATCAGGGAATCCATTATTCCTCATGCTGAAGTCTTAAGAGTTTCTAGTTTAGTTTCTGTTGCCAACTAGCTTGGTGAATGAAACTGAACTCCTTTTTTGCATGATAGCCAGGCGTATTACCCTCAAAACCCATCCCCTCCCCTTATCCACGTTAGGATTTATCTGCTGTCTTCTACACTAGAAAAAGAAGTGCTTGCTGCCCTGTTATAAATATCAGTAATTCTTACCCTCTAAACTCAGCACAACTCTTCCTTGACCTATATCTGCCAAAAGTTGTTACCTGCTCATTTCTTTCTCTGAACTGCTTCCTTCATCCCTTGTTTCACTCCTGGGTTACTGCCTTTCATGCAGCGGCTTTATGCTTGGAAAAGTCTCCTCCTTCCTTTGTGCCAGGAGATCGCCCTCTCCCTATTCCTCCGCTCTTTGTGAAACCTTCAGACTTTGATCTCCTCGCAGACCGTGTCTTTGTGCCATCTTCGATCTGTAATCTTATCCTGTGTTTCATAGAGATTCTCCTCTGTGTGGGTCAAGGGATCTTGTCATATACATGTTTGTGAAGCTCCACAGAATAATTTTTAAATAGTGATATGATTGCTTTTCCAGTTCCCAGAAGTTGTTCCGCTTAATGTAGGAGGCATGTATTTCGCTACCAGGCTGTCAACACTAAGACGCTATGAAGATACCATGTTGGCTGCTATGTTTAGTGGAAGACACTACATTCCAACAGATGCCCAAGGCAGATATTTTATTGACAGAGATGGAACTTACTTTGGGTATGTGCATTATCCTTACTACTCTAATTTTGAAACTGTTACTGTGATAGGAAACATTAATTTTAAGAAAGGCAAGAATTTGTTTGCAGTCTTCTAATTCAATCCCATTTGAATTGCATCTTTTATCAAAGACTAGTGTGATTAACATACAACTACAGTTTTTAAAACTTCTTCCAGAAAACTGTCAAACTTCTTGGTACGTTGCAGTGCCAAAACCCCTATTATTTCATAACTAATGATTGTAACTCACTTTACCAAAAAAAACCCTAAACAATGTTTTGGTCCTCGGCAAAAGTAAGCGTGTGTGTGTACATACAAACGCACAAAATAGCTCCATCCAGGGAGCCAAGTTGCTCGTATATTAAAAGTTGAGTATTTGACACCATTTCTTGTAACAACATGATTGTGGCCTTTTTTTGTGTGTGTGATTTTTGTTGGTATTATCTTGTAGTTTTTACCCTAAAAAGGGCATGGCAGTGATGTTCCTAGGATAATTGATAACGTCCTCTTTTGGTTGTCACAATTTTCAAATGTTTAATGGAATATTTGTAGAGATTCGTCCAAGTTTAGAGTATAACATGCTGTTAAGAAAGACAACTAGTATTGTATTTGACATTTACAAGCTTGACTTCAGTATAAAATATTCTACCCTGTTAATCATACTATAATACTTAGAGGGGCCGAATCTCGTCATTTTGGATAAAATTGCAAATGTTTACCTTTTTTTATTTTTCCTCTTTTCTGTTGTCTGCATTTTTATTTGCCTGAATTTCACATATCTGAATTTCAGGTATATATAAATTCAGGTGAACAGATTAACACTACATATTGATGAAATGTGCAGCATTGTTTCAAGCCTGCAGATATTTATCCACATCCAAAATGGCCAGACTTTCTCTGAAAGAGAATTTGTTGTTGGAAATCTGGCCCAGATCTAATTATAATGCACTTCAGAAAGCTGAAGATTAGCGTAAAAGCTATGCCTTTTGGGGATTTTCACTTTCCAACAAATACATTCTGCAAAATGTAGTAGGATAAATCTTTGTTTTGCACGTGGACCATCTACTCCCTGGACCAGTGAGAAAGCAAAGCATAATAATCTTTTATTGTTTTAAAAAGATCTGTTTACATATTATAGGTGGGGGAAAATGCAGGGGTCGAAGAACTTATTTTAAATTGCTGATGCCCGGCAATGTTATATTCAGAGCTCTGTTATCCTTCTAAAGGTCTCAAACAAGATATTAGCTTGCTTTTTATTATTTATTTATTTTGAGCATGATTCTGCTGATGTTTAGTTCCCTTTGTTGGCAGTAATCGCTACTCCAAACAGTAAGTGTTTTCAGAATCAGATCTTTGCTTGTAGAAATATATGTTGGACATTCTAACCTCATTTCCAAAATACTTTTTCCCAGAGGGATGTTCTTCATCTCTCCAGTTGAGGACCTAATTCTCTTCAAAGCCAATCAGTGCTGTTCCTTAATCCACCACAAAGTCCAAAATATATCAAGACAGAATTTCCTAGTATGATTAAGCTGATTTGTTTATTTGAAAACAAGTGTTGGCATTTGTGAGCTTCTTACTGCGGGCAACTCTCTTATTGGAAACTGAGTTAATTGTGATATACACTATCGACCCAAACCAGCACTTTATATATTTCCTGCAGTATTGTAAAGAAGGGCCAAGCAGCAGGTGTGTTCTTTGTTTCACATCATATGTTCGCTAATAGGATGAATTAGTTAATGTTTGTAAAGTGTTTTTTCCATCTTCAAAGCATTCTGATCTAAACCATTGTTGAACACATTCAAATGAAACACTCATTCTGTTGTCAGAATAATTGCAGAAGGCCCTGATCCTGTAAAGACAACTCCACAGCCAGACACTACTCGCCCACCTGGAGCTCTTTGATGTTAGTGAGGTTTTCAGTGGGCCGAAGGATCTGCCCACATAGTTCTTCAGCAAAATCGGGTACTTAATGAATACAATTATAATCACTGTGTTGTCAATGGGAGACTATAATCTGTGTCCTGTTTCAGTTTAAGAGATTAAAGCATCCTGAATGTTTTGTTTGCTGTGTTTTTAAACTGGGGTCCCCACACTGCTAGCTTCACAGACATCACATTTTCCAGCTGGAGGCTCAAAAATGCCTCTCAAATGTGCATTTGAAAATAGAGTTCACAGTTCATATAAGAATGAGAGCTGCTTCTTACCTTCTGAATTTGAAAATTGCTGGACTGAGTAAAACGGTGTCTCCATTTCATGTCAGATTAACAATTACATTCTTTTTTTCCCCCCCAAAAAATTGTAAGACTTGTTATTGAATAATATTCTCCCCCCCCCCCCTTCTGTTTAGAGACGTTCTTAACTTTCTGCGATCTGGTGACCTGCCATCGAGAGAACGGGTGAGGTCAGTTTACAAGGAAGCTCAATATTATTCCATAGGACCATTGCTGGACAATCTAGAGGAAGTCCAGCCTCTTAAAGGAGAAAAAGTTAGACAAGCTTTCCTGGGCTTAATGCCATATTACAAAGGTAAATTAAAGAATAGTGACGATGTATATTGTAGCTTGGTATGTGTAGTAGAAATAATGCTCAAAAGACTGAGTTTACTTTCTAATAGTGTGTAAGTGTCCTGAGGTAAATACACAAAGGGGGTTTTCATGGACAGGAAGAAAGTCCTGCGGCTCTGATGCTATTTCCCATTCACTGGAGTAATTTTGACCAAGATCCTCAAATGTATTTAAGCTCCTAATTTCCATTTCCAAGCTTCAGTTTTTGGCTTTGCTTTTGGGTAGTTTAACACCGTAACTCTTCACCTCTTTGAAGCCCCCACACAGCACTTCCACCTGCATCATTCAAGGTGATGAGTATTTTTCCTTAGACTTGAATGAGAGCAGGATCAAGCCCATAAAGCGCGAGAAGAGATTCTTGAACAAAACTGTTTCTTTGAGTCTGCATTGGTGGTTCTCTTGAGGGCCTGCATCTCTTTCGTTGTGTGTTCAAGGTCTTTAGGAAATGCTTCAACAGCTATTTATTATTAGGTGTATTGTGCCTAAATGGGCTAAATACTTTTTGGACATACAATAAACAGGCCCCTGCCTCAAAGAGCTTACAGGCGACACAATCCATTTTTTTGAGACAATAGCAAAACTACTGTGTTTTGCATTGTTCCTTGTAGGCACATAATAGCATTACCCAAGAGATCTTATCTGAACACGGCTTATATTAAAAATAAGCCAGTATAAGACTGGTCTTGAATTGAAGAGAATAATGCCATACATGTGACTTCACACCTAACTTAACTCAGATTGTTTGGTCTTTTTCTCAGTCTTGTGATCCTTTGGTTATTTCACAACTTGAACTTTGGGCATACTGCTCAAGCAGTCATCATAAACCTTGCAATCATAAGGTGGTTTTTAACTGGAATTTAAGGCATATATAAACTCTCAATATGAATATGGCTAATTTCATTATTGTAGGCTGTATCTAACTGCAAGCAACCCTTGAGTATATCTTTTGTTGCCTCTGGCATTGTTTTAAGAATAATTCATGCCACTTTGATGCAGTAATCAAATTCCACATGAAAACATTGTGTTCTGTTCCTCACATGACATTCACTGTTTATTACTTTTGTTGTTGTTTAGAACACTTGGAGCGGATAATTGAAATAGCTAAGCTTAGAGCCATGCAGAGAAAAGCAAGATTTGCAAAGTTGAAGATCTGTGTTTTCAAGGAAGAAATGCCCATCACCCCATATGAGTGTCCACTTTTCAACTCTCTACGTTTTGAAAGAAGTGAAAGCGAGACAAAACTGTTTGAACATCACTGTGAAGTAGATGTATCTTTTGGCCCCTGGGAGGCTGTAGCTGATGTGTACGATCTTCTGCACTGTATTGTGACAGACCTGTCAGACAAGGGAATTACTGTGGATCATCAGTGCATTGGTGTGTGTGATAAACATCTGATAAACCATTATTACTGCAAGCGCCCCATCTATGAATTCAAGATTACTTGGTGGTGAGTTATTCTTTTCAGAAAGTGCATAAAAAGTCTTTTTTCTAGACAACAATTGCTTTTAATATTACCTTTTGCAATATGTCTCTGGAAATGCATTGCTGCTGAGATGCACTGGAATTGACCTGCTGAAATGTTGGCTAATGCTTAGCTGTTCAGCAAATGGGAACCTGTTACATGATAACGTCTTGAAAAACTAGCCTGAAACAAGATTGTTGGCTCAGGTATCTTAACTTGACACCTTCTGAAAGGTGCCCACCTGCTTGGTGCCTTTTCTGTAACGGCAGGGTCTGAAAAGTGGACAGTGCAACTTTCACTCACTTTCGAGCAAAGTCATGGCTGCTGCTGGTGGTAGCACCATTTGAGAACATCTGTGGCTTCAATTTTACCAGCTGGTGTCATGGTTTTAGTCACTTCTGCTAGATTGATCACTCTATAAAGCCAAATACCACTCCAGTACAAAGATATTGACAGTGCAACTCAGAAATACCTGGTAATTTAAATAAATAAGGGAAGAATGTCCTAATGTTAATGTTGGTTGTGATTATTTCAGTTTTTCAAAAATTAGCTTTATTGAGAATCTGCATTACAAATCTGTATTATAATAATTCAGTTATTTCCATTTTTATGACCAAAAGAACATCTAACAAATTCAGGCTACATTCTTTAATACGTTTAGGACAAATTACAATTCACAAAAAGCCTGTTCTCAGCATTAGAAATTCTAAATATTTACTACACCTACAAAAAAGAAGCGGTATACAAAATGGTCATTTGGAACGGCTTTTGGAAAATGGGAGAAACCTACTGGTATGCCCCAATTAGCAAAGATAAGATGGACACTCAACACATGAATTACTGTAAACGTAACTCTTCCAGATCCAATGATAATTCCACATTATTCTGAAATGGAAGCTGGATGGTGAGACTTTATAAGCCAAGCCCTGAAAAAAAAATTAAGTTACATGATGACTATCCCTGTTGTCCTCCCTGCTTGTAGCAATAAGAAGTGTAATTGTTGACTTTGTAATTAATCTTTAAAGATTTCTCCAATTACCAGCTAATGTGTCTTTGTAGCACATTTTTTTTAGACTGAAAGAGGCTATCCCAGGGTCATCTTTCTTCCCTGAAAGTAATAGCTGAAATACTGAAATTTGTAAATGTCTCTCTTGAAAGCTCAAATACATAATTTTATCCAAAATGTAGGAATATATTTAAATCCTGGAAACATTACTATAATATGGAGTATCTCAGATCATCTCCACTATTTCAAGAAAGTCACTTGGGTTGGCCTCAAAATTTAATCTTGGAAATACTAATGTAAATTGTAGGTCCTCATGTTACATTTCATTTGGTTGATTAATCTAATTTGTTGACCAAAAAGATGTTTGGGAAGGCAACTTGCATTTAACATGTTTATCAATAATTTCAGTAAGAAACTTTGAATAGCATGTTCTGAACAAAAAAATTGATTAGCCGTCACCCATACTGTTTAATTTAGGAGATTACAGTAAATCTTCTTTATAAGGCTGTACTTGGGAGCTCATGACTTTGTGTATCTTTGTAAAGGAACATTGTCAAGTGCTCAGGTTTAGGATTAGAATGTAGGTTTTGGAAAGAAGAGGGGGAAAGGGAGATGATAAAAACATGTCTTTGAATCTTTTTTTAAAGGTTAGGATTCCCCTTCAGTCTGAGGAAAAACAACAACACCCTGCTAGTGCATGAGAATCTAAAACTAAAACAATCTAGAAATGGCAAATGAAACTAACGAAGGTAGTTTCACTAAGGCTTGGTCTGCACTACAGAGGTAGGTCAAAGGAAGCCGCCTTAAGTCGACCTGTTAATGTATGTGCCTACACTACTGAGTCCTTTACGCCGACCAAGTCGTCTCTAATGTTGACTTCTGTAATCCACCTCTGCGAGAGGCGTAGCACTTAATTTGATTTTCATGGGTTGACTGCAAGATAGTGCAGATGCAGCGTTGTGTAATTCGACTTAATTGACCTCCGGGTGGTGTCCCACAATGCTCATCTGTGACTGCTCTGGAGATCATTCTCAACTCTGCTGCACTGCAGTCAGGTACACAGGAAACAGCCCCTCGCCTGCTAAAATCCTGGGAATTTTTGATTTCCCATTTCCTGTTTGATCAGCATTGGGAGCATGCCAGCTTGAGCACAGCTAATCATGGAGACTACATGCCCCCAATGCTCTCCAGCCTGGTCTGCATGGGAGGTGGTGGATCTCATCGCTGTGTGGGGAGAAGTCTGTGCAGGCAGAGCTCCGATCCAGCAGAAGAAATGCTGACATCTATGCAAAGATCGCTCGTGGAATGGGGGAGAAGGGCTACATGAGGGACACACAGCGGTGCCGTGTGAAAATAAAAGAACTTTGCCAAGAGTACCAGAAGGCAAGGGAGGTAACAGTCGTTCTGGTGCTGAGCCCCACACTTGCCGGTTCTACAACGAGCTGTATGGGATTCTCCGGGGTGACCCTACCAGTACCCCCACAAGCAACGTGGACACCCCACAAGCAACGTGGACACCTCACAGGTGTGTGAGTCTAGGGACAACAAGGAGGACGATATGGTGGATGAGGAAGAGGAGGAGAATGGGAGACAGGTGAGCGGTGGATCCATTCTCCCCGAGAGCCAGAAAATACTTTTAACCCTGGAGCCCTGTAGGTCACAGGACATCACAGTGGCCAACTGTGATGCCGGGGAAGGCACCTCTGGTGAGTATACAGTTACAGTCAAAGTTCAGTTAAACTTTAGCAGGTGCACACATTCGGTGGTATTGCATGTTTACTGTGAAGAAAAAACAAGGTGCTGTGGTTCTTTGCTGACAAGAGGCTGCTCCAGCTATGCAGAGGGTGGCCCCCGGAAACTACTTTTTATGTGGACTGGGATAGTTCGGGAATCCTCCATGGATATCTCTAGAAAACTTTCATGGAGGTACTCTGCAATCCTTTGCAGAAGGTTTCTGGGCAGCGCAGTCTTATTTCTTCCACCATGATAGGACACTTTCCCACGCAACTCCTGAATGAATTCTGCTAGCATCATTGTGGTACACAGCATAGCAGCATAAGGACCGGGTCTATACCTAGACACTTGCAGCATCTACTTCCTTTCCGCCTCTGTTACCCTCAGGAGACTGATATCACATAGGGTCGCCTAGGGGAAATGGGGGAAGTTCTCATTAAAAGTGCTCTTACAAGAAAAAAAGAGCATGTAGACCTTCTCCCCCACCCCACATTCCGGATCGCCAAACCACGTGGTTGCTAAGGTGCCTTTACTGTGCTCGGCATGGGTTGGCAAGTAGTTTAAGTGGCTGTTAGGGGACTGGGGCCCCACATGTGAGATTCTGCAATTTGAGAGTGAAAACGCACCCCTCCCTTCCCCCGCCCTGTTTGTAAATGGCTTTCCATGGTGCTATGGGGAAGGGCCATTGTTTGACTAGCTACCTCTGCTCCTGACATGAGCCTGCCATAAACTTCATTAAAAGTGCAGTCACCCATGACTGGGGGGTAGAGGGGGAGCTATTCACCATGGCTGGAACAGCAAAACGGTGCAGTGAATGGTTACGGATTCTGATTGTTATGGCTTGCACCTAGTGTAATAAGGGTGTTCTTTTGTTTTGTTTTGTTTTAATGAAAACGGCCTTGCTATGGAAACATTTTATGCATGTACAGTGGCTCCTTTCTTTTTTCCCATGACTGACCCCCAGCTGAAAATGTGTCCTTTGGCACGTCATCAACACCTGAAAGCAGACTGATTAGAAGAAGGCGAAAGAGAACACGGGAGGACATGTTCACTGAGATAATGAACGCCTCTGGGACAGCTGACACAGAGCTGAGAGGCTGGAGGATTACACTGTCCGAGAAGTTAGACATGGACATGGAGAGCAGGAAAGCTTCCACTGAGCAAGAGTGTGCGGCACAGGATGAGATGCTTCGGATTATGACCAAGCAGGCATGTTGAGGCATCTGGTTGACCTGCAGGAACAGAAGCAGGAGGGTAGAGTCCCTCTGCAGACCCTGGTGGACAGCCAGCCAGCATCGCCTGGCACAGAATCACCCTCCCCAAAGTGTTCCCTGAGGCTTGGGAGAAAAGTCCATTATTCCTTTCAGTTATCTCGGGAGGAGGGTACAAGGAACAGAAGGTGTCCAGTCACAGACCTTTGATGGTCTAGAATGCGGTGTTATGTTACACAGCTAGAAATGTTTCTCCTGTTCCAACTTTACAACCCCTTTTCCCCCAGGCTAATTTTTTTGTCTGTTTTCCCTCTTTACTTATGGTTGTTAAATAATGTACATAAATGGATTCAAGAAACAAATGTTCTTTATTGATTAGAAGCAGTGGGCTTGGGTGCGGGGTTGGCTTTACAGGGACAGTGATACAAGCCAAGTGAAGGTTTGGGAAAGCACAATGCAGACAAGCAGCTCACGTTACTGTGACTCATTATTGAAACAGCTTTTCAAAGCCTCGTGGATACGCAGCGCCCCTGGCTGTGCTCTTCTTATTGCCCTGGTGTCTGGCTGCTCAAAAATGGCTGCCATGCGATCTGCCTCAACTGCCCACCTCTGCAGAAAATTTCCCCCCTTTTTTTCTCCACAGGTATGGAGCACACCGCAGGCAGCTATAACCATGGGGATGTTCTCTTCACTAAGGTCCAACCTTGTTAGTAAACTTCTCCAGCACCCTTTCAAACTACCAAAGGCACATTCAACCACCATTCTGCACTGGCTGAGCCTATAGCTGAACCGTTTCTTATTGCTGTCCAGACGGCCGGTATATGGCTTCATGAGCCATGGAAGCAAGGGGTAGGCTGGGTCCCCCAGGATAACTATAGGCAGCTCAACATCGATTTATGTACTCTTTTTGGCAGGGTGGTCTGGTGCCAAGATGGGGACATGCGTGCCATCTATCGCCCTACCGCAGTTAGGGAACCCCATTGCCGCAAAACCATCCACTATGTCCTGCACATTTCCCAGACTCACTACCTTTTGTAGCAGAAGTCGATTAATGGCCCTGCACACTTGGAGCACAGCAGCTCCCACGGTTGATTTTACCTACTCCAAATTGATTCCCCACTGACTGGTAACTGTCTGGCATTGCAAGCTTCCAAATAGCGATCACCACTTGCTTCTCCACTGTCAGAGCAGCTCTCATTTTTGTGTTGCTGAACTGCAGGGAAGGGGAAAGCTCTGCACAAAGTTCCTGGAAGGTGGCCTTCCACATTCGAAAGTTCTGCAGCCACTGCTCATCATCCCATACCTGCAAAACGATGCAGTCCCCACCAGTCAGTGCTTGTTTCATGGGACCAGAAACGGCTCTCAACAGAGTGCAGCTGCTCTGTGACTGCCAGCAGCAACTGTGAATTGTTTGTTTGCTTTTCCCCCCAATGGCTTGCAGCAGGGCTGCTTGCAGGACATTGCTATGTTCCGTGTGGCGAACTCTACTTCAGCTCTGGAAATACTGCAGGAGAAGGCGTGAGGTGTTTGAGATGCTCACAGCAAGAGTGCACAAATGAGCAGGCTCCATGCTTCTGGGGTTATGGCGTATGTGCGGCAGTTTTAAGGCACGAAAACCACTGGGTGGTTTGCCGTTGATATGAGGGAGGGAGGACGGTGCATCATGGGATGCCGACGCAATGTTCCCATTCTCCCTTGCAACATTTTGCTCCCATGAGGCATTGCACAAACTTCCCAAAACACACTGCGGCAAGTTGCACTTTGGGGTAGCTACCCACAATGCACAGCTTTGTGCATCGATGCAGGCACTGCTAGTGAGGACGCATTCCATTGAGACAATGAGCATGGTGTGGCCACGCACAATCGACTTAATTAATTCGGAGGCTCCAGGTCGAATTAGATAAAGTTGACTTAAATGTTGTCGTGTAGACAAGCCCTAAATTGAGTGAAGACTTGAATGAGTTCTTCACTTATCAGCTGGCTCCTCAACTTTGGTTTCTTTGTAGGGGAAGGGATCCTTAAGCCACAGACTGAACTTTCTACTAAACAGCCTCCTTCAGATCCAAAATCTGAAATTTATGAGCCCAAGATTCTTGTTAGGAGAAACGCTTTATTCAATGACTAAGTTAAAATAAGACTGTTTTTTCTGGGTAGTTCAGTGGTGCGTGCCCAATTCTCATGTCTTTGTATAAATGGGACATTGCTCTGGTCTGACTTTTCAGCATTGTTGACAGAAATGGGAATCTCAGCTGCAGTGATTAAAAGCATACTTTTGGGCTTGACTGTGATATGATCACATTTTAGAAATTTCCCAAGAGAAGCTACAATGGGGACTATGTTCTTTCTGATCATGTTTATCTCGTGGTAATATTCTGGCACTAACATTTGTGCCAGTAGATTATATGGCAACTTATTCTGGTTCGCTTTATTAAAAAGAAATGGACAGGAGGAAGAACATCTTGTTCTTGTATCATTTGTATCTTAATTAAAGCCCTTAATTACCACATGCTCTACCAGATATTGAAAACTTTAAATCCAGTTTAAAGAAAACCCCAGACATAAGAGCCATTGTGCTTTCATTATGAGCATACTTTCTGTGTCTTGTGATTTAATTTGTGAGAGTTAATATTGCTATTGGCTGGACTTGTTCTAAACAAAATATTTTACCGTGATTTAGATATTGTTACTGCCTAATACGTGTTCATTTTTTGACAGAAACTGAGAAGAATTGTGCAGGAGGATGTCAGGGGAGTATACTCCGTAACTGCTTTAAATAACTTTATTGACTTAACTTTTCTTGGCGTATACCATCACATTTTGCAAGTTCTAAATTTGGAAAAAAACAAAACAAAACACTGATCTGTTAACCCTCATATATACTTAATGAATGCTGTATAGTTGTAGAATGACTCCAAACATCTGCATAACATTGGATTTTTTTCAGTGACCTTAGAACCTCTCTTAGGGCTTATATACCCAGGCACATCCAAGAAAATTAATCCAGATAATTAAAGGTGTGACTTTAAAGTGGATTAGTTAAACTTCATTAAATCTCTTTGTGGGTGCTGTTATTCAGAATTAAACTGAATTAAGGCCACTTTATCTTAGGCCAGGTCTACACTAATCCCCTAATTCGAACTAAGGTATGCAACTTTAGCTACGTGAATAACGTAGCTGAAGTTCGAAGTACCTTAGTTCGAACTTACCTCGGTCCACACGCGGCAGGCAGGCTCCCCCGTCGACTCCGCGGTACTCCTCTCGTCTAGCTGGAGTACCGCAGTCGACGGCGAGCACTTCCTGGTTCGACTTATCGCGTCCAGACAAGACGCGATAAGTCGAACCCAGAAGTTCGATCGCTGGCCGCCGAACTACCGGGTAAGTGTAGACATACCCTTAGTTCACTTCCAAACTGAATTAAGGCCATTGCTATTTTGAATGAAGAAGTTCTCGCAGGGTTTTAATTCGGTTTAACTACTCCAGTTCATATTCACACTTTTAGCTAACTCAGATTAATTTTCCTGGATGTCCCTGTGTAGACAAGCCCTTAGTCAAACACCCTATCTCTATTCAGTTATGTCTGTGCAGATCTCTCCTCCTATCTGCCTATTTCTCTATCTCTGCCTAGTCCAAAGGCTGGTCTACACTAGGAACTTATATCTGTATAGCTACATCTCTCGGGGCATGAAAAATCCACACCCCCTGAGAAACATAGCTGAGAAACATACTAACCTAACCCCAGTGTAGACAGCGGTAGAAGAATTCTTCTATTGACCTAGCTACTGCCTCTTGGGGAGGTGGATTACCTACGCCATCGGTGTAGGTAGTAGTGTCTAAACTGAAGTGCTATAGCAGTGCAGCTGCAGCATTAAAGTGTAGACACCCTAAAAGTATTTATACCACTCTGTCACTGTAGTATCTGAGCACTTGTAAGGTATCTTTTCTGTGCAGAATCTGTCGCTTATCTGGATAAACATCAGGGCCTCCGTTCCATTCTGATAAATGGATCATGTGGTTGTTTCATGTCATCAACATAGTTTTGTTATGAAAGTCATGCTGCCCTGCCTGTTGTCGAACGAACAGTAAGTGCAGCCTGTTTAGCCCAAAATGTACGTACCTAAAAGTATGGTGCATCTTTCGCAGCATCTTTGGAGAGGAGGCCTATCATTTTTTGGTTCTCCAGTGATGCCGAAGGGAACCTGCTAATAGTGAGTGGAATATTTTGTATAAAAATTCCAAATGTTTTCATTGTGCAAATTGCAAAACCTAGATTACAGTGAAATCTCTGTTAATTGTGATGATTTGGGGGAGAGAAATTAAGAACCGAGTTCTGTTTAATTATTTTTTAGGTTGCTGCATGCCCAAATATTTGCATTAAAATGATTAGTCTCTTAAAAAACCTCTGTATATGCATTGACCAATGGTTTGAACAGAGCAAAGAGAGACCTGGATCCTATTATCGGTTTTCCAGCTAACTTCTTGTGTGGCCTTGGGCAAGTTGCTTAACCTCTTCGTGCTTCAGTTTCCCATCTGTAAAAAGGGAATAATGATACCTCCTCATCTTTGTGACGCACTTTGAGAGCTTAATATGGAAAAACGCCAAGTGTTAAAATTTAAAATTGTATATCTATAAAAGGCACCCACCGGGAATGGGATGAGGTTTATTTTACTTTAAGGAAGGTACGTTTTAGTATCCCGACAAGTTGACACTTGTTTTTTGATTGGTAACTAGAGATTTGTAGGACCAAAGAATGTAACAGAATGAGGCAGAGCCTTCCTTGTGCTGTGCATAATGGCCCTTTTTGCCTACATACCACAATACTGCATGAGGGTCGCATGGCTGTGATACAGTGCAGAACACGTTACCTGTACAGGCAGCTAAATAGTGGATTAAAATAGGTGGCAATTAATGGTTGGAATTTGTTGGGACAAAAATTATACACTTTATCTCATGGGTGCAGAGATTTTGTTCCCCGGGGAAGGTGCTAGCATCTTTGTTGACTGATGATGCAGACTGGCTAACAGCCACTGGCACAGTTTACTTCTTTCCCTCCGCCCTTCCCTGTTCCTGTTTTTTCATTGAGACCCTTGATTTGTTTTTGCAAACTGTTTTGAAACCTAACCCTTAATTCCTGATCTGTTCTTTACATTCAACATAGCATGTAACTTTTTTTAAAAAGTATTGCCAACGGTAGAAGCAATAAGATTCACATTTGTACAGCAAAAATTTCCTGGAGTCCCCCGACAGACTGTGTAGAGATGTAGGGAATCTATCAAAGAAATACTATACAATCTAGTAACAACAAAGAATTAATTCATTAACCTGAAAGCTGTAGGCATCTTTTCTTACTTTGGCTTTCCCAGCTTCAAGCACTCACTGGAGCGGAGACTAGCGCAGGAGCTTGGGGACGCTCTTGCCAGACACTCAGGGAGGAGGTTTATAATTAATTTTTTCCACACGGGACACCTATGAACCTTAAAGCCCTTCACATAGCCAGCATCAGTGTTGTGTGTGAAAGATATTTGAATGTATCTAAATTGAGCTGCACAAAAATCCACCATAAATGGTGTGTGCATTTGTTTGAGGGCATAAATGAAGAATGGCGCATTGAGCGTAATTTTGTATTTCTAGATTTATTACCTTTCTGAAACATCTTTTATTTAACACAGTTATTATATACTAGGTCTTTTCTATAATTATTTAGATGAATCATTGAAAATGAGAAGAAGTATCAATTTACATTTTCAGTGTAATTCAAAAGGGGATAAATGTGTCTAAAATGGAATTCATGTAGGCCCCAATCCAGCAAACAAGCCATAGATTTTGATGGGATATGTTTGACGTTAAGAATGTGTTTAAGTGCTTTCCTGGATCATAATCAAATGTGCTATGGTGGCTTTTTAAATATGTAGTTCTTAGAGCCCAGGTATGGACATTTCGAGGTCTCTTCTCTCTACACATGCAGTACTCCTGTTACTGTCAGTGGGAATTGTGCATGTAAAATAATTAAAATACATAGCCCTGAGTGGTATGTTTAATCTTCAAAGCAGTTTACAAATATTGACAACTGAATTCTCACAATAGCCGTTTCAAGTCACTAGCTAGCCTTTCTATTTTACAGATAAGGCAACTGAGTCAGACAGATTAAATGACTTGTCCAAGTCCACAGATAGTGTTTGAGCTGGGGTGAGCATGCAGGAGATCCTGGTTCCCCATCCTTGTGCTCAAACCACTAGACTATCCCTAATGTATTTAAAAAGCTTGTGTATGTCAACATTATTTGAAATCTTGATCACTGACTTTATTTCAGTAATAATGTTCCTCTTGAACATAGTTAGCCAAGATACACTTCAGAAACTGAACATTCTGTATCCTAATGTATGTGTGTTCGGCTGGTACAGACACTTAAAGTATTTCCTATTTGGTCAATTGTAAAATATAGTTCAACTAATCATCCATTCTGGAGTCTCGAAAGATTCAGATGAGTGGAACAGACGAGCTTGTGGATATTTGGATCTAATTGGATTAATGCTAACCCATGAAAATGATTGTGAACATTTGCCAGGGGAATGCTTTTTAGAGCATGTCTCTCCTGTGTTAGGGGAGAAACTTATGGGAGAGGGGATTTAATTTCTGGAACCTATACAGAAAGAAGAGTTTGAGATTAAAGGGGTAAAACTTGGAGACACAAACACTCCTGTATAATGACAGGTTTCAGAGTAGCAGCTGTGTTAGTCTGTATCTGCAAAAAGAACAGGAGTACTTGTGGCACCTTAGAGACTAACAAATTTATTTGAGCATAAGCTTTCGTGGGCTACATCCCACTTCTTCGGATGCATAGAATGGAACATATATTGAGGAGATATATATATATATATACACACACACACACACACACACACACATACAGAGAGCATGAACAGGTGGGAGTTGTCTTACCAACTCTGAGAGGCCAATTAAGTAAGAGGGGAAAAAAAACTTTTGAAGTGATAATCAAGATAGCCCTGTATAAAGTAACCATGTCTGTTCAGTTGCTATAGTGCTCCCAAGTGCAGCAATTGTTTAGGAATGTTATGTGTGGAAAACTTCCATTGAAGAATGTAACTCTTTCATGATCATCAGCAATTGGTTTCTGGATTCTTGCAGGGAGGTTTGCTGTAGCTTGTATGATTTTTTTTTCAATTTAGACAAATAGGCATAATCTGAAAGCATTCCAACAAATACAAAGTTCAGTCTGCTATATATACAGGAACTCTTCCTTGATTCTTAATAAGTGAGTCCCTAAAGAGGCTCTAACCATGTCCTTGGCAATCTAATTGAAATGTATTTCAACAAACCTTTGCTTAGAATGACGATTGATTAAACCGCAAGACATAGCAGTCAGCATAGTGGAGCTGGGTAATACAAGTCCTTGAAAATAAGAGCCAAAGCCTCCTGTGTATCCAAGAATGCGTTAATTTGACTGAATACACAGCCTGGCTAGCTTTAGTGCCATTTTAACACAGACTCTTTGCTAAACTCAAAAGGGTTAGTGGTACTTTAAATCTATTTTTTTAAACGGTTACTGTGTTTAAACAGTAATAAATCAAATTTTACTGAAACTTTTGGGGGCAAATTATCCTGATTTATACCTTGCAAAAGTCATGGCAGTAATTGACCAGTTTTCTTGTTTACCATTTCCAATATATTTTTATGCTTCATGACTGAATATCCATGTTCTGCTGTATTTTTCTATAATGCATCCTTCCCAGTGCTTTTAGCATGCACTTTTTATTACAAACCTGGAACTGGGAGGGGTTTTTGATTTCATAACTTATTTCCCCACTCTAGTTATGAATGACGATTTCAGTGAGATCCTGCTCCCCTCCTCCCCCATTCCAGTTTTCCAGCTGTAAGAGGCATAAGGAGATCAAGTGACTAGCCTGAGGACACACATTGAGGTAATGACTGTGACTGGATTCTTCCTTGTTCCCTGCCCTTTGTTCTAACCTCTACATCATACATATATAGTCTACTTAAATGCTCTAGGTTTAGGAAGTTTATCTTGTATGCAGGAGATTCAACATCTATATTGAGAGCCAGAATACACTGCCTTCATTTAAAAAATCCCTGGAAGTTATCGGTTGGCAGCTGGCAGTT